CGGCTGGGGCGTCCGGCTGGAGGCCAGGTCCGGCGTGGAGAACTTGGCCATCTTGCGGCTGCCGTTGCCGCCCGCGCCGGCGCCCCCGGCCTCCTTCTGGCCGCTGTCCCACAGCCGCTTGGCCACGGGGGTGCACTGCACCGAGTCCGACTCCTGCTGCTCCGTCTTCACCCGCGACACGAGCGGCAGCGGCGTGCTGCACGCCGGCCAGCCTGACGTCTGCGCCACCGGGCTCTGCGGCTCCGACGACGGGGCCTCCTCGGCGTGCAGGCCTTGCGAGTCGCAGCTCGGGGAGCTGACCTTGAGGAAGAACTCGGTGCCCTTCTCCATGATCTCCTGGATCTGCAGGAAGCCGGCCGTGTAGATGAGCAGGAACTGGTCGCCCATGTTCATGCTGAGGCGGCCCGTGTAGCAGAAGGTGAGGATCTGCTGGAAGGACTGCGGCTGCACGGCGGCCGGCAGCTCCACCACCGCGCTGCGGCTGCTGTTGAACAGGTCTCGGAAGTAGGAGCTGCTGGCGGCCAGCACGGCGCGGTGGGCCTTGAACGCGTGGCCCTTGACCACCACCGACACGTCACAGTACAGGCCCTGCAGCCGCTGCTCGTTGAGGCACTCGAGGATGCTGTTGCCGAAGTTCGGGATCTCCATCTGCAGCGTCTGCGCCATGGCGGCCGCTGCGGGCGGGGACAGGGAGAGACAGGGCGGCCGCGGATCAGGCAGCTGGGACTGGTGCCCTCCCACACAAGGCCTGCCCCATATTCTGCGGTTCCCCCTGGGGTCCGCGGAGGCACCCAGGGGTGTCAAGACTGGGGTGCACATGACCCTTCATCGAAGCTAGAAGCTACTGGGCCTCTTCCAGTGTGCCTTTTGCCTTTGGTGGTTGTACTGGGGGCTTGAACTCTGGGCCTCGCGGTCTTACTCTGCTTTTGCACTCACGGCTGGCCCCCTAGCTGCGTGGAGCCAGAGCTCGGCTTCCAGTTTGGTAAGCTAGAGGTCATCAAGCGTCTCCTGGCCGTTCCTGCCTGGGCTGGCTCTGAACGGCCATCCTCAGCACCTGTCTGTGTCCCTTGCAGACATGATTGTTTTTCTGAATCCTTTCAATCCCGGAAACGTATCTGGGGGCGTGCTAGGCCTGGGTCCTAAGTCATTGTGCATGCTCAGCAAGCGCGCTCACCACTGAGCCACGACCCACGTGGCTCGGTGTGTGCCGCGTTGACTGGGAGGGGATGGAACGCACGGACGCGGAGAGCCCGAAGTGCTGTCGAGTCAGCAAAGCTACGAGGGCCCCAGATGGCTGGGATCAGCCCCTGGCTGCCAGGAAGGCTCCTGAACCCCCATGGCACCCATGTGATACAGACCACCCAGCCAGGGTCCCTGTGCAGGTGCCTGGCACCTCTGGGCATTACCCAAGACAGACATCATCTCGAGCACCAGACCCTGCCGCCCTGGCTTGGCTGGCTTCTGTATACAGGCAGGAAAGGTGCTGGGAGGTAAGGCAGGACTGCTCAGTGTCCCCACAGATGGGAAATCCAAGCCTGGCCGGGGGAGCGTAAAGTGGGGCAGGCAGCCACGTGGGAAACCGGCCTCAAGTTCCCCCAATGGCCAGACACAGAACTGCCACCGGATGCAGCCATGGCTCTGTTAGGAATGAAACCCAACGGGAAAATGGCGCCGCAGCAGTGGAGTGGAGGAAAGCTACGCGCATCTGCTCAGCGGGAGCGTTTTCAAAAACGTGACAGCCACACAGTATGATCTGGTCAGGAAAAAAAGGGTGACCCACACCACAACACAGACATGCTTGAAGATTAAGGAGCCTGACGGAAGACTGCAGCGCGCAACCGCTGTTACACGCCACGGCAAACCCAAACCGGCAATGGGCAGGAGCACTAGGGGCGGCTGAGGACCAACGGGCACATAATCCAACCACCACCGAAGGATTCCCAGGGCAGTAGCTATGTAACTAAATTTATTAAAGCCCACTGAAATGGCCCCGTGGCTCACACCTGCAATTGTATCTACTCAGGAGGCTGAGATCTGAGGATCATGGTTCAAAAACACCCTGGCCAGGAAAGTCCGTGAGACTCTTATCTCCAATGAACCACCAGAAAACCGGAAGTGGCGCTGTGGCTCAAGTGGTAGAGCGCTTGCCTTGAGCTGAAGAGCTGAGGGACAGTGCCCAAGGCCCAGAGTTCAAGCCCTAGGACCACCACCACCAACAACAACAAAAAAAGGTCCAGAGATTCAATCTTCAAAATAATCAGAAAAAACTAACTCAGGCTGGTCGGAGAGCTCAAGGCCATGAGTTCAAACCCCAGTGCCACCAAAACCACCAACCCAGGGCAGAGCTGGTGCCACAGACCGAAGTACCTAGGTAGGAATAAACACTCCCACCACTGGCAACAAGTAAATAAACAAACTGGGCATAGTAGCCCCCTACCAGAGACAAAGGGCAGGGGGCCACGGGCAGCCCTAGCCCCTCTCCGGGATAGAGGGGTTTTCCCAACGCAGAGGGCGTCCCCAGCCTGATCCAAGGCCATGACGCGGTTCCCATGACCACCCAACAGCCACTCAACAAATATTTGCCAAGTGCTGCAGGCCGCTGGGCGCTGTCTCTGACCATCTTGTGTGGACACGACTATCCCCACACGGCCACCCACATACACCCATGTACTGTGGCACTGCCCTGGGGGGCGGGGGCGGATCCAAACAGCCTTGGTGTACCCTACATCAAGAACTTGGTTTCACCCAATTCTCACAGTGGAGCCCTAGGGCTCAAACCACCATCTGTTCACTAAGGTCTCCCCATGAGTGCCTGGCACCCCCAAACCTGCAAAAGCCCCTGCCCCGAGTTCTAACCCTCCTGCTAGAACTTCACAAGCGCTTTGCACACCCACACAGGCCGAGCTGCTGTCCATCCACACCTCCCCGCCATGCGAGCCCCCAAGTCACCCCCCCCACCCGCAACTCCCCAAAGCCTAGCAATTCGGGATGTGTCTTTGTACAGGTCAGCTCCTGAGAGGTCACCGCTGTGTCCCCTGCTCCTAGGGCCAGGCTGGGCACCATGAGCACGTGGCAGCTGTTGTGGGGGTGCAATGGCACCCGCAGGGGCCCCAAGCTACTCAGGGGGCTGCAGTGGGAGGAGCACTTGAGCCCAACAGCTGGAGGCCAGTCTGGACCACACAGACTTCTTAAAAACTTTCAACTTGGGGCCTGGGAAGGTGGCTCAGTGTTAGACTCTTGCCTCACATGAATAAGGCCCTGGGTTCGATTCCTCAGTACCACATAAGCAAAAAAATCTGGAAGTGATGCTGTGGTTCAAGTGGTAGAGCGCTCGCCTTGAACTGAAGAGCTGAGGGGCAGCGCCCAGGCCCAGAGTTCAGGCCCCACGACCGACCAAAAAAGAAAACAAAACAAACAACTTGGAGGCTGGGAAGGTGGCTCAGTGGTAGCGTGCTTGCCTAGCATGCATGAAGCCCTGGGTTCCATTCATCAGTACTACATACACAGAAAAAGCAGGAAATGGCGCCGTGGCTCAAGTGGCAGAGCGCTAGCCTTGAGCAAAAAAAATCTCAGAGACAGTGCCCAGCCCCTGAGTTCAAGCCCCAGGACTGGCAAAAAACAAACCTGCAACTCCGCCAGGCACTGGTGGCTCATGCTTGTAATCCTAGCTGCTCAGGAGGCTGAAAGTTGAGGATCACAGTTCAAAGCCAGGAGGGCAGGAAAGTTGGTCAGACTCTTGTGTCCAACTAACCACCGGAAAATTGGAAGTGGCACTGTGGTTCAAAGTGGTAGAGCACTTGAGCAGAAAAGCTCAAGGACAGCGCCCAGGCCCTGAGTGCAAGCTCCACCACCAACAAAAACAAAAAACAGTTCCAACTCTATGTCTACGATGGGCACAGAAGCCACGCCGGGGTGCCGGGGCCTAGCTGACTGCTCACTACTGCTGCTCTTGGCTGTGGCAGGGACTGGCAGGAGGCCCCTGTCTCTGTGGAAAGAGAGCCCCCACCCCCCACCCCCAGCAGAGGCCAGGCGGCCAGGCGGGCAACAGGCGTGAGGCTCAGCCGATGTGGTTCAGCGGCAGTATTTGCCTAGCATGGCAAGGGGTCCACCTGAAAATGCCAAGAAAATAAATACACAAAACACAGCCAAGCACTTGGAAGTCTGACGAGGACAACTGAGGGCCCAAGGTCAGCCTCGCCCCAAAAGAAGGAATAGAGAGGCCATCAGATCACGATGGCTCCGTCCTGAGTGGCAAAAGAGGCTCTTTTTCTTTTTGCTGCTGGTACTGGGGCTTCCAGCTCTACACTTGAGCCGTATCTCTAGTTCCAGCCTTTCGCTGGTTCACTGGCCGTGATGAGTATCACAGACTTTCCTGCCCTGGCCCGGGCTTGGAATCCTGATCCTCAGCTCTGAACATCCTGAGCAGCTAGGATGACAGGCGTGAACCACCAGGGCCCAGCTGGGAAGATGCTCTTATAGAGGAGTCAGGGGGAGTCTGGAGGATACAAACAGGGACCCGATCCCTCAGCAGACACTCCATGTGGGGTTGGTGTTCTGATCCTGGACTTCCCGCCGGGTCTGCTGGGGTGGAGGGTGTGGCTGAGCAGAAGAGCACCTGCTTGGTACTGCACAGGCAACATGCAAGCAGCAAACTGCAAGTGTCCCACAAGGTAAGGCCCTGGCGGTGGTGCAAAGGTGGCCCCAGCCCAGCAGGGGTGCTGGTCCCAGGCCGGCCCTGCAGACTCTGCAGAAGAGATGTGAAGAGCCCAGTAAACTTGTGGGTCCCTGCCCTTCATATGTCATTTCTGGGTAGTGCTGGGACTTGAACTTGTGAGGTGAGGCTACCTACCACTTGACCCATGCTTCCCAGACAGGCATCTGTTGTTTTTTTTTCTTCTTCTCCTTGAAAGGCTGTCATTCTACCCAGCCCACCCCGCCAAGGCCCACTTCACCCACATCAGCTCTGCCCGTTTGAATGACCCAGTCTACGAATGCAATGCCCAAGGAACCAGCTTTCTTTTTTCTTTTTTTGGGGGGTCCAGTCGTGGGGCCTGAACTCTGGGCCTGGGCGCTGTCCCTCAGCTCTTCAGCTCAAGGCGAGCGCTCTATCACCTGAGCCACAGCGCCACTTCCGGCTTTTTTTCTTTTTGCTTATGTGGTGCTGAGGAATCGAACTCAGGGCCTCATGCATGCAAGGCAAGCGCTCTACCACTGAGCCACCTTCCCAGCCGGAGAAACCAGCTTTCTAGTTAAATTCCACTCCAGAGGGCGTGCCTTCTCAAAGAGGACAGTGGAACCAAGGGCAAGGGCAAAGGCCCTGAGGTGACGCTGGTTCCTGTAGAGGGAAGAAGGCTGGTGGAGGTGAGGGGGGGTGATCTACTGGGGACAAGGCTTGCTGAGAATGTTCAGGGCTATGGCGGGAATTGAGAACTTGAATCTCAAGCCTGGTCCAGAGATGTGCCCCTGTTGTCCCAGCAGGTAGGAAGATCACTTGAGCCCAAGGGCTGAGCACCAGCGCCAGCACAGAACACGGAGTAATACTCTGCCTTAACAAAACACAGCCAGACCGAAAATCAAGCACTACCCCCAACCACAAAGCACCCTAGTACCACTAAAAAAACAAAAACAAGGACCCCCAAGGATACTAAGATCCAGATGGCCGAATCTCTAAAA